TTTTTTTTTTTTTTTTTTGGCCGCTTCGCCTTTGGAAACACTCCAGTTACGGGATCGCTGGCCTCGGACAGGGATTGAACCCTTTAAAGACTGGCTCGCGAAGGAGCTCGTGGAGCGCTTTCCTTTGCCTCGTCGAGTGCTCTACCACCCGCCAATGCCTCCCGGAACTCCGTGATCATTCTGCAGCAATTCACTATTTTCCTAGCCCATTTTTTTGCAAAAAGACGTTTTGCCGTCTTCACTATTTTGAATGACAACGATTCTCAACTCGAGCAATAATTCCACAAAAATGACAGGTTTTTCACCCAAAACATTAGGAAACTCTTTGTTAGACTGTGGCGACATACTTTCCATACTCTGTGTAAAACTTTTCGAGGCAAATTGTGCAAATATTCTCGGAAACCATTACAGGCATGGACGATAGTGGATTATTTGCTCAAAATTCCCGCCGTTGTGATCTATGATGCATGCAGTAAACATGACAGCCAGAAATGATTCTGATCGGTTAATACATATACTGACGCTTGTCACGCTATGAGGAGGTGGAAGACTGCAATGAAGACCCTTGTGTCAGGGTTTTCTTTGCCGGGTGCTTCCTCCACCTACCCCGCGAGTGAGGAAAGCCTGATACTCAGACTATAGGTAAGATAACCCTGGCAGGGGACAACATTTTTATATAAACACTTTGACTCGCCTTCCCGGGACAACCCTCTGCGTGGCGTGTGTCATGTCATGCCTAGATTTAGAATCTAAAGCAGAAATTTGTATCAAATAAGTGAACATTAACTCGGCAAAACGAACTGTGATCGAATGACCCAGGGAAACTCAAAGAAAAAGTTAATGCAAATGTTTGAACATTTGAATATCAAAAAACGGTTGTGAATAATCACGGCAGGGTCAACTTTGACTTGGTCAACAGAGACAGCTTTTTCACATATACATTAAACGCTATCGTGGAAGGGTTGTCTCGGGTACCCAAGAAGTAGTAAATGTGGCTTGTATGCGGCCTAACCATTCATATTGCAGCAAATTTGGGAGGAACCAATGAGAAAGCCTAATTTCACCCACGTGACCAACAAAATGGCCGCAGTTTTTAAATGTCCATTAGTTAGAGTGATTGTCGATTAGTGTAAACTATAACATAGTCTCTTGCCATAACTGTTGTAAATTATTATTTGTAATACCGTTAGTTTATCAGTAGTCTCTAGTCATCGTTGTCATTCTGTCCCTTTTAACCACTGTTTTCAGTTACTATAGCCAGCTGAAACTGCTCATAAATACCATTGTTTTCAATTATGATTGCCTGATAAAACTTCAATTATATCCATGTTATTAGGGATACCGTCTCGTTAATAACTTTGAATGGAAATTGAATATAAGATAGAAGGCTTGTTTTACTCGTCACTCGCAAACTTAGTTTTGATCTGAGCGCTTCACAAGTCTTCAAGTCGTCGTCACTGCGGTGTGTCAAAACGTTCATTTTTCCACAATGGAACCACGCTAAGGACACTTCCGTCTTGAAACAAAGCTTTCGCTGGGACTAAAATCAGAGTGAAAATAAAGCGACATTTTTTTTTTTTTTACACAGAATAAAAGTTTAAGGGTGACGATAAGTAAAATGTTTTTATAAACAAATTGTGTTAGCATACACTTACTCGAGTAGAGTTTACAAACACTCTGGTCCCAGCTGTTTTTGTTTGAGCATTTCTTTACCGTGTACTAAAACTTTGCTTTTAAACATTCTCAAAAAGAGAGATGAAAACGTCGGGGTTACTTGAAATCGTGGATTAGCGTTAAACAATACTCGTATATATATATATATATATATATATATATATATATATA